AGACTTATTGAGTTGGATAAAAATGGTGTATGTGCAGGGTCTGGGTTGGGCTGATCAGTCAGTGAGTTTGATATTAACACTCTCCGGAGCGGTGCTCTTGATCATTCTCTCATCCTCAGTCGATGGCCAACTTTGTTCAACGAGGCCCGTCCACATCTTCAACTTCGGCGACTCCAACTCGGACACGGGTGGACTCGCCGCCGGACTCGGCTACTCCGTCAATCCCCCCCAATGGCCGTACCTTCTTCCGCAGCTCCACCGGTCGCCTCTCCGATGGACGCCTCGTCATCGACCTCCTCTGTAAGTAGACCCCACCCTCGTCTCCTCCCTTTATACTTGTTAGGATCATAGGATTAAATTTAATAGTCACCGTTGTGGTCTTATGACAGAGTGAGAGGAGCATGCAGCATGCATTAAAAAATGGAAACTAAGATAATGTTGTTTCCTTGTGCAGGCCAGAGTCTGAATGTGAGTCTATTGAGCCCATACCTAGACTCTTTGGCAGGCTCCAACTTCTCAAATGGGGCAAACTTTGCCGTTGTCGGGTCCTCTACCATGCCGAAGCGTGTCCCTTTTTCTTTGAGTATTCAAGTCATGCAGTTCATCCACTTCAAGGCTACTGCAGGTATATTTGGAATGTAAACTGATGAATGTGAACATAGATATTGAGCTTGTGAAAATGTTCTTGTGAAAACCAGCTGACTGAATGACACTGCTCAATGTATGTTTAGGTTCCAAACATTTGATAAATGATGACGGTTTTCGGAAAGCACTTTACATGATTGATATCGGACAAAATGACCTTTCTGATTCTTTCACTAAAGACCTTTCGTACGTTCAAGTAACAGAGAGAATTCCTTCAGTTATTGAAGAAATCAAGAGTGCCGTTAAGGTGAGTTCGGCGTCTATACTAACGATCATAAAAATGGCCGGCAGAGTAAAGAAATTACGAGAGAAATCCTTAGCGAAATTGATTTGTTATCACTTTATATCAAAGCTGAAATTTATACCGCATCAATTGTAGGCTTTATACGATCAAGGTGGAAGGAACTTCTGGATACACAACACCGGGCCATTGGGTTGTCTCCCTCAAAAACTTTCATTAGTTGAGAAGAAGGATTTGGATCCATATGGATGTCTTTCGAGTTACAATGCGGCTGCGAGATCGTTCAATGAAGCATTGCTCGATTTGTGCAACGGGATGAGATCTGAATTGAAGGATGCTGTGATAGTTTATGTGGATATATATGCCATCAAGTATGATCTCATTGCCAACTCCACCAAATACGGTAAAATTTCTTATGTTAAAGCAAGTAGCTTGCTGGTGAATTAGTTCAGTCTAGTTTAGGGGCAGTGCAATTTAATTTTGACGAATGTGTTACAATGTAGGTTTCTCTACGCCGCTAATGGCATGCTGTGGCAACGGAGGTCCTCCGTACAATTTTAATGTCAGGGGGCTCTGCGGTCAACCTGGCTCTCATGTTTGCGACGAAGGATCCCGATTTGTGAGCTGGGATGGAATTCATTACACCGAAGCTGCAAACACCATCGTGGCCTCAAAGATACTTTCCACAAATTATTCCACTCCACGCATTCCATTTGATTTCTTTTGTTGCAGTTAGTCTAGGGTTTGAAAATCATGCTCAAGGCTTGAAATTGTTGTACTGGAATGTCCAAATAGGAAATTACAGTTTTAGGAAGTGTATCATGTTGTTGTAAAACATTCTCTTTGTGAAAACCTGTATTTTTAAAAGTATATGTATTAATAATTTGAGAATTAAATATTTTACTACATACTTAGTTATATATATATATATTGGTTATATTTATGTGTGTAATTGTTGGTACGTATATGTAAATATTGTTGTTATACTTTTATAATAATTATTATGAATACTATTATAATAATACTTATATATTTCTATGTTTATAATAATAGTTAGTTTCTTTGATTATTAAACAAATATATAAAGAAGTTTTGTTGTCCATGTGTCGTCCACTTCATGCATGTTAAGTGGCTAAGTTCAAAAGTGAAGTAATCCCATTGCATTTGCAACACCTCCTGCTATTACGTTTTATACCTAGCAGTCTTACATTCATTAATGTCATGCCTTATCTTATTAATGTCATGCCAAATTGATAACATGCTATTTGTTAGTAGTCATAGGTTAGTAGCAACCGACTTTCCCTTAATATAAATAAGGAATTCTACAATTGAAATGAGAGAGAGAGAGAGAGAGAGAGAGAGAGAGAGAGAGAGAGAGAGAGGAGAGAGAGAGAGAGAGAGAGAGTGTGTGTGCGCGCGCGCGCGTACGGGCGTTGGAGGAGAGTGTAACTTGTGTTTTCTTAAACTGTGAGCTAGCTTTGGAATTGAGGGAGGGGGTTTTCTTGGAGAGCCTTTACACAGATTGATTTAATTAAATTTCGTGAACACTATATTATGCATGATATTATTATTTAATTATTATTGATATTAGGTGTTTACATGTTGTTAATTATCATTATATTATTTTATTGATATTGACATGTTCATATGTTATCGGTGATGGCTAGAATTCTTGGGTTGATAAAGAAGGTAATGGGAAGGATCTTTTGTGTAGTTGAGTCTAACCATTGTAGGGACCAAGTTCAGGTGAGCCCGTGTGCATAGTAGATTAGGATATCGACGGTATAATTGTTGATTGAGTGATTTGGGCTTAGAGATCAATGACTTAGACAAGACGACTAGCAAAAGGAGAATTATGAGATGATTGATATGAGTGTTAGTTTATATACTAGGGCATTCGGAATCACAGTGGTAAAATGCATGGTATGAGACATGCAGATTTGCTTGCCCTATAATATTTTTTATAGTAGCTAGTCTTAAAAAAAAAGAAAAAAAAGTCAAAGTTATTGTGATTCATGAAGGGAAAATTAGTCTTTCCGATATTAAAATTTTAGGGATGGACCCTTGGATTTGAGCCCAACAGGCCCATATTTATTTCCCACGTACTCCATTGTTCTTCCCTCCCCCGGTAATGGGGATACAGAAACTCAACTCTGAGGACGTCGTTTGACTTTTCTCTTTGTTTAGGGTTTCAAACAAAAATGGGCAACCACGACGATGAGCCATTGGCGATGAATAAAAACATCATCAAGGGCGAGGCTGAGCAGCAGCGAGGCAAGTCGAATTTAAATCCAGACGCCCCACGCAGCAACCTCCGCTTACACTTTTTGTATTATAAAATTAGGGATCCCCTTCTATTGTTATTATGGACTTGGCATACGAAGTAAAACAACAAACTCTGAAATAGAAAAATACTCTGAAATAAAATATTTTTCTAGAAGCTAGTCTTTTAAAAAAAATTGTCAAAGGTTCTGTAAATTTGAGTGGAATTTCCTTTTTAGACAAGACAAAAAAAAAGTCTTTTGACTTCAATTGTGATTTCATGAAGGGCAAATTAGTCTTTTTGGTATTAAAAATGTAGGGATGGGTCCTCGGATTTGAACCCAACGAGGCCAAATTTCTTTCCCTCCGTAATGGGGATAAACTTTGAGGGCGCTCATAGAAACTCACCTCTGACGACATAGTTCGACTTTTCTCTTTTTCTCTTTGTGTCTATCTAGGAATTCAAACAAAAATGGGGCAACCACAACGCAAAGTGCCTCCTCGTATCGGGGGGGATTGAAATATTATCTTTTGCCGTATCCGATACGTATCGGATAACAGAAAAGTCCACATCGTTTGCCGTATCCGATACAATGAAGTAAAACAACCAACTCTAAAACAAAAATGAAAGAGCTTCAACTATTTCAAATCATGTAGGCTTGCCTTGTCACCGCACCGGTGAAATTTGTTGGAAATTTTATATTATTTAATAATATTTAATTTCTATAGTTAATGAAAAGTAAGTGCTGTGTGTCTTAGTATTTGTTTTGCACTTGGTTATATATATATATATATATATATATATGTATGTATGTATGTATGTATAAGATATCAAATTTAAATTATTTTTGTTCTTAAAAAAGCTATATGATCTTTTGTATAGTTAATGGGACAATGTGTTGTCATTGTTCCTTTCAAAAGAAAGTATATAATTTCGGTTATAATAGTAAGAAAGACACATTTCCTAAAAAGTATATCATCAGTTTACGTAGTGATACCTTACTACTCTATAATTTCTCCACGTCTTGCACAAGGTAAATTAAAATTACCACTTATATATGGTGAAGTGCAAGTACCTATAAATTGAATTCACCAACAGATTCAAACGAGTTAAGTTTTGTTCAAGAACTATACGACTGAAAAGTGCATTCAATACAAGTAAACTGAAATTCACAAACAAATCCAAAGAAATATACGGCACTTGAAAGTTGCTCTAATTAAAACAAGTGCATATAAAAGCTCCCAACTTCAGTGCATATAAATCTTCAGCATGGACTCTACTTGTACAAGTCTATTGGAATTGTCAAAGCTACATACAATACACCTCACTTAATACTCCTAAGAACAATGATAATTGAATCCCCATGGAGAAACATCTTGCTGATGATAAAATATCCTTCCTTGTTAACGGGTTGAGCCTTTTTCTTGCCTTTTCCAGTCTTTGGCACCTGCCCTGCATACACAAGAGAGAAAATAAAAGGGGTTTCAGAATGAGGAGTAATCGGGGGCCCATCTCTTCTTTTGGTTTTTTTTTCCTTCAACATATAAATGCAATTTTCCTTCTCAAACCCTAACTCTAACAAGAGCCGTCTTCCAGCCCCTCTCTCTTGCTCAAACTTCTTCTTCAATCCTCGTCTCTCTGTTTCTCGCTCATAGCACCATCATGATCTCTTCCCTGACCTTGGAGATTCCAAAATGGCATTTTTTTTTCTATGCGCAGCGCCCGCCTAGCCCGCCCGCCTAGACCTCCTAGAGCCCGCCTAGCGACCGCCTAGCCCGCCTAGCCCCCGCCCAGAACATAGAGATCTTGGCCACCATCTGCATATACCCTCATGTCGCCCGCCTAGACCGCCTAGCCACCGCCTAGATCGCCTAGCGAGCCTAGCCCCAGCCTAGCCCGCCTAGCCCCCGCCTAGAACATAGAGATCTTGGCCACCATCTGCATATACCCTCATGTCCCAAAGGAAAATCTCCGGGAAGCCATGGTGATCTAGTTTGATAGAAAAGTCCCCTGTTGATGGGTCCTCTGAGCTTTTCCACGAGGTCAAGTACCTGTTTAAACATGTGCTCAACTTCCATCCGAGCTTCATATCTGGAAGCAGAATGTGTGTGGGATAATCAAAGCTCTGCCAGAAAAATGTTTGGCTATTTTCGGTTCCTTCTTTGATCACAAGATTGCCTATATCCAAAAGCAGGACATTTGGTCTCAAAACTTGGGTTTGATTGGAGGACCAAGTGACATTTCCAGATGGATCAAGAAGGACAATGTTTCCATGTTCACCAGTCATCAAAAGAGCTCCTGATGAATTTGAAAGCGGGGTGTCTATGTTGGTCACCCAAAAAACTGTTCTGTTTTGGACTTTTTTGTACCATATATATGCCCAAGTACCAGCCTGAAATATTGCCTGGCTTGAAGAAACCCAACTCAAAGACTTCACAGGGGGAGACAATGGTCATGTTTCCTTCGACAATTAATTAATATATTATATATATTATATATGTATGCCTTGCCTTCCTCACTTATTTTTGCTGTGACCAACCAATTAACAGATGTACAAGTGAGGTGAATACATCATGTCTGTACTCTGTACATGCATTTGAGTGCGAGAGATTGGCTCCTCAAATTATACAATAATTAATTAATTAATAATGTCAGTTTCCTCATTAACATCGGCTTGCCATAATGCCATTGTCAAGCGTAATGTATTTCCATTTCCTAATTAAATGGGGGATGTTTTGATGAACCCGTAATTGGAAGGCATGATTATTCTTGCAAATTAAGGTGCTTTGTCAAGAAGATCCTGGTCAAAATGTTGCTGCCATAAACTAAGCAATCTCTGTGCCTAGTCCTAGACTTTGCAGTTCCAGTTGCAGGACCACCTCTATTCATGACGCCATCGCTTATGCTGCTGGTGAAGATGAAGGGGAATCGCCAATTATACAAGAAGAAGAAGAAGATGACGACGGAGATGTACAACAGGAAGAACATAAAAATGGGACTCCGTTGCAGGCAGAAGAAATACCTCAAGCTTTTAGCGCAGAAGAAAAAGAAGGAAGTGAATCTTTGATAAAGCTATGAGAAGAAGAGATGGACACACCAGAGCTGGAAACAAATCATGTTAATGACTACTTAGCCACTCGTACAGAACAGATGAACTCAATAAAAAATTTGAAGACTTTATAAGAAAAATGGAGGAAATCAGGATTGAAGCTCAACGGCAACCCATTGCCGTTTAACCATTCAGCGAGCAGCTATACTCTTTAACCGAGTATCGTATAGCCGCGCTGGTATACCTTTAAAATCTAATACTTATAGTGTATAGCCGTGCGGCTATACTCTTTAAATCAACATTAAATATATAGATTTCTCTGTAGCAAAGTTGAGCCTTGAGATAATGAATCAATTAGACACGGTATGTATTTCTAGCTTTGTTACTATGTGTGCGCTTAGGGTTGAGGGAATATTTATGCCTTGTTTGTGTTGAATGTGTATGAGGAGTGATACCAAGAGGTTGCATATCTTTTTAAGTTCCCTTTGTCATATTTCCTTATACATATTCGAATATTTAAACATTATAGCCGTGCGGCTATACTCTTTAAACATGTTATGTTTTAATTATTATATAATATTGAAAAAAAAAATTTCAACAAAATAATTAATTAGAATTACCCTTGGTGCTTTTTGCATCTAATTTCTGTCTCACTTCACTTGGTATGTGTACATAGCACACACAGCCAAATATTTTAAGATGTGCAAGTCCTGGTTTTCTCCCACTATATGCCTCAAATGGAGTTTTATCTCCAAGTGCTCTATTTGGACACCTATTTAGTAAGTAGACAATTGTGTGCACAGCTTCTGCCCACAGGGAGTAAGGCAGTCCTTTATCATGAAGCATTGCTTTTGCCATTTCAACCACAATCTTATTTTTTCTCTCCACCACTCCATTTTGTTATGGAGTATAGGCCATAGAGAGTTATCTTTGAATCCCTTCAGCTTCACATAACTTGTTGAATTCACTGGATGTGAACTCTCCTCCTCTGTCACTTCTCAAACACTTCACCTTAAAGCCACGTTGCAATTCTACCATTGACTTGAACTTTCGAAAGCAATTCAGTGCTTTAGACTTGTATATGAGAAAATAGACCTAGACCATTCTTGTACAATCATCTATAAGAAGCATGAAATACTTGTTGCCATCAATGGATTCATTTTGCATAGGTCCACACAAATCCACATGAACTAGCTCAAGAGGATTGCTTGCTCTCCATGCTTAGTTATTTGGAAACCATTCTTGATGCTGCTTTCCAAGCTGACATCCTTCACAGACTCCATCAACCTTTTCCATGAATGGCAGTCCATGCACCATCTCCTTTTCTTTGAGTTAACTTAGTCCTTTTAGATGTAGATGACCCAACCTTTTGTGTCATGTCCAAGTAGAGTTAGGTATACTTGCCTTTAGTGCAATATGATCATTAGGTAATAGTGCCAAGAGATAACACCTATTCCTTTTCATCTGTACTTTGATTACAAGACACTCTAGTGAAGGACCTTCAAAGATGCTGCACAATTTTCCTCCAAATACTAGATAGTAACCATGTTCATCCATTTGGCCCACACTTAGTGAATTCTCTTTCAGTCCAGGAAGATACATCACTTCCTTGATATACTTTCTGCCTTTGATAGTATCAATTGCCAATGTGCCCATTCCAGCAACATTCACAAGCTCACCATTTGGCATTTGTACCTTGCCTACCGCATTTGTTCTAATATCTGTCAGCAAACTCTCATTTCCAGTCATGTGGTTGCTACAACCACTGTCTATATACCATTCTCCAGTAACATTTGTGGCAGCAATAGCACTGTTGGCATATAATAGGTTTCCAGTCACTTCCATTTGATTTGAACAGTTTGCTTTCTGCACATTCTTGCTTGCAGTACACTCTCTAGCCAAATGTCCAAATTTGTCACAGTTGTAACACTTAGGCTTTCCCTTGTATCTGCATTCACCAAAATGAAATTTAGAACACACTTTGCATTGTGGTTTTGAACCTTTTTGACCTATTGTTGATGATGAGTTCTATGCAAAATTGGTGTGTTGAGGCTTGGAATTTGATTCCCATGGTTTGCCTTTTGGATTCCAATTTTTCTGAGATTTGGATTGACTAGATCGAAAGCCTCCCTTGTTCTGGCTTTTAGGATTCACAGAAAAGAGGCAAATGCCTTCTCAGCTGTATCATTATTATGCAGCTCAAATCGTTGCTCTTGACTCTTTAGAATGATAATAACTTCCTGTAAATCTACTGTTTCCAGACTTTTTGTATTCTCAATCACCAGACAAATAGGATCATAAACCTTTTTCAAACTGATTAGAACCTTTTGAACGAGCCTTTCATTTGATTAATCAGCTCATTCAAACGAGTAAGATATGCAGACAGAGATTCATTTTCATGCATCCTAGTATACTCAAACTCACGTCTAAGGTTTTGAAGCTTTACCGATCTGACATGGTCACCACCATGATATTCTCCATATAGCAGATTCCATGCAATTTTAGCTGAATCAGGATGAGCAATGTGAGGGAAGATCTGATTAGAAATTGAGTTCTGAATAATCCCCAGAGTTTTTGCATCCTTCATAAGAATCACAGCCATCTTCTCATCATCTTCCTTTGTAGATGTTTCCTCAACTACCTTCTTCTTCTTCAATTCTGGAATCGTAATTCCTTCCTTTACCAGAGTCCACAACCCATATGACTTGAAGATGGTTATCATATTGATTCTCCAGAACTCATAGTTCTCACCGGAGAAGATCGGAGTTCTTAATTCTGAGCCTCCAGATCCAGACATTGCTAATCTCATATAACCAAAACCAACTTGTTTAAGATATCAAAATGAGCTCCAATCGATCGCCACGAGCTTGAGTGAGCACCGATTTAGCTTGATTTCACAGATTTGAAAAACGCCCAGATTCAATTGATCGAACGTGGCTCTGAGGCCATGTTAGTGTTTTGCTATTCAAGCTAGGTTTTTGTGTATTGGTCAGTTAGAGAGAAAAGAAGAAATAGAGAATGCTTTGAATAACTACTCTGCTTGCTCACAAAGTTTGTAAGCAAGGTTTTGTATATTCACACTCTGTAAGAATGAGCTCACACTTCATGTACTCATGACCGTTAGCTCTGAGCTGGATTCACACAAGCATCAATGAATCTCAGCCATCCATCTGTCTCAAATATAGGATTACCACTCTTGGCTATTTTAGCCTTACATGTTTGAAGCCTTACACTTGTCATTCTCTAGGACTAAGTGAATACACAATTAACACTCTAGGCTTAAAAGAAATCAGGCTCACTACTTACAATTCTACAAAACTTACCAGGAGAAAAGTAAATATTAAACAAAATCTAGACAATTGATGGAGTTATATATATAGCAATATTCAGATCTAGAAAATAAAACAAGTGTAGGATCCATCCATCTCAGCTTCAATAATCCCTAGCATTTCTTCTTTTTCAGAAGAAAGAAACTAACATCTGGGATGGGCTTCAACGTTCAATTGGCACATATATATATATATATAATATTTTCGTCTTTTTCGTCAATATGTCTGAAAACAAATCTAAACAGAAATTACGAGTCCTTTTCTTAACCACATTTATATCTTTCCCTTTAATAGGGATACAGATATCGCAGTCCAGAATACCTAAACCCTGCGCGGAGTTTAGAGAGGAGAAGTTGTTCTGCGCCCTCATCAACAAACTCGTTTCTCACAGCGGCGTTGAACTCATTATCTTTCTCTCTATGCCTAATAAAAAGTTTAAAAACCCACGTGGCATCCCCATCTGTTTTGTCAAGATTTAGAGGGACGGACTCTTGGCCCACCACTAACAACATCGATATTGTCCCCAACTTAATCACATGTTTAGCAGGTGTGGGGTTTTTATACAAAAGGCCTCAATGTTATTAGGAGTGGAACCATTTATTATATGAGACTTTCTATTTTGTTAAGTTTTCGATTTGGGACTCGTGTATTCTTCAATGTTTTACATGGATTATGCAGTTTTACCTATTTAGTCTAGGTTGCTATATGAATTCAATGGCTTAGTCTGAGGGTACCACCACACACACCAGTGAAATTAAACTATTTTCCATCATTCTTGAGATTTTTAAAGTATGATTATTTCTATCATAGTTATGTAAAAGAACAAAGCCTTGTCACTTATGTCTCTTTGCATGTTATTTTGCAGCAGCCGATTTGCAAGAGTCTTGGCCGCAGTTGGAATCTGCTTTAAAAGAGTATGGCATTGCATGTGCACTGGATCTGGTATGTTATAATAAATGTTGTTTACAAATGTATTCACTTTTGTGTATTTGATCTTCGTATAATCTACTCTAGGTTGATCAATCACTCATTTGTCCCTTTTTTTTTCCTTATAAAAACAATGTATCTTTTGTTGCACATGTTAAATTTTTGTATTTTTAATTTTGGTTAGGATCAGTATTTCATCACATTGTCAACAACCCTGAGTACGGTCGGAGCTGCTGTTTCCAAGATAAGACATCTTCATTTACTTCTGTCAATCAGAGTTCCCGTTCATCGGGTACAAATGTCTTATCTTTTGTTATTGTTAGAATGTTTACGTCTCAATGAAGAGCTCAGTTTCACTTTATCTATCTTTACTGATAAAAACTTATGGTGACGTTTGCTTTTGCTTGAAACCTCAAAGTATTGCTTTTCTCATCGAACTGATTTTTCAAGCTATTTGCGTTGAATTTCTGATTTGAGTGCAGAACATTTTTTATTTCAGGCATTAAGAATACCGGAAGGTCCATATGACAACATCCGCACCGGGCATCATTTTGATGGGATTTGCACAAAATATAAGATCAAGAGGGTGGGTGTTGCTTAAATTTGCTTCCATTTTTGCTTGAAGTTGCAACCCTGTCTGTCAATTTTTCTGTAAACAAATCTAAATGATTAAACTCTTAACGTTTATGTTCGTATTAGCATTCTTACTGTAGTTCTGGTGCTTTACCTTTTAACTTCCAAGAATGAGGGTAATGTGTGTTTTGTTTTCAATGGAATAGAATGACCTGGTTGTGGTCATAGGGGGTTCAGATCAAGGATTGAAGCTAGTGAGGCAGATTGTGTCCGGCTGCATTGTACGCACGATGCCTCCTGGTGTCAAGAGACTGAGAGATTATCTTAAGGTGTTCTTGGGTGGTAAAAAGTTGAGCTTATGATGAATAATGATCGGAGGACAAATTACACCACTGTTACTAATTGGTTCTCTTAATCTCGAATATACAAGTTTTTTTAATTTATTAAATCGTTTGGGAATCTATTTTTCAGCCATTTTTTTAATTTCATTATTTTTACTTGAATCGAGCTGAATATATTTTTCCTTTTTCCCCTTTTTTTGTGTGAACTTGTTTCATCAAATTCGCTCTTTTCATTAGCGTTGTCAAAGTATAATGCCTTTGAGTTGGCTTTGAGTGTACCCTTTGGTTAGCATGTTTAGGGAGGCAATCATGGGGCCACTTATATAGTCCTTCCTCTTTATCAGTAACTCAATTTCGTGAAGGTTGAGTTTAATTGAATATATTTATATTAGAAACAGGCTATAAGAAAAACACTCTTAATTTAAGTGGTTAAAAACAGTTATCCAAATACGTGAGGTTATGTATTCGAATCATCCTCTTCTAATACGGCTTGTGTAAGAAGAAAATCTATGAAATCAACTATTTTTCCTTCTTTAATAACAATCTCACATGGTGTGGGTTTTACATGGATCCCACAACATCACGACTTCCTTCTCATGTAATTTATAAGATAAGTTAAGAGAAGAGTTGGGTTTTGAAGTATTTTTATTTGCATCACACTCGAACCATATAGAGAAAAGATCCATCATCTAAGTGGGACCTATTGTAGGTTGTGATGTCTTCAAATGTGGTCCAGTGTTTGATGTGAATCAAGTTTGCTCATTTTCAAAGGTTTTTTTGGGTTAATGGCAATTTAGTACCCTGTGGTTATACAATTAAGACATGTTATTCTATCTTCTCAATTTTTATAATGAAGTACTCCGATCTTTTAAATTTGTTACAATGTGGTTTCACCATTAGGGTTTCTGTTAATTGTCCTGTTAGTTGCCTACGTGGCACTTATAAGTCCCACTTTTTCTCTAGTTTCGAAGTCCTTCTAAGGGAATTTTTGAACATATTTTCTTGTTCTTCCGCCTAGCACCCTCCGTCTTTCTTGACTCTTAATTTCAAAAATGTCAGTTTTTGTATAAAATTTCAAATATAGCAGAAAACTCACCTAAATAGACACAAATACCCTCAAATTTAAAACCTACATAAACCTAAAAAAGAAACCTTATTAAATAAAACTCTGGAATATTTCCTTCAAAACTTTTCCAATCACTTCTATTTCTTTTCTTTTTTTTCCTTCTTCCATTTGTTTCCAGCATCACTCCCTTTCTTTTCTTTTTTTTCTTTCTTCTTCTCTCCATCTCTCTCTCTCTCTCTCTTTTCTTCTTCTCCCGTCTACATATCTCTTTTCTTCTTCTTCTCATCTTCTTCTCTCCCATACAGGCCAAAAATTGACAATGAAACCACAAACATTAGCTATAAAATAAAGTAGAAATTAATACAGCTTTTAAACTACGGAACAAAAATGAAATTAGAAATAGCATAGAGATATGACCTGTCTACAATGATATCAATATCAACTTTTATATTACTACTATTTATTAAGTTATAACTAAATGTATCAATCCATCACAATATCAGTGAAATAACTAATACTTAATAATCTGCAGTATGCAATCTGCAGCATACAAAATCTAGCCTTCCATACCGTATATAATAATAGCCTACACACTAGCTTTGCAGTTCTATTTGATGTATTCTAACTCTGTAAACTGGCTTTCTCCTGACACTCAAAGTAAAAGCAAGAACTTCAACGTTTGAAACAGAAAAATTGCAAAACTTAATGGATACCAAATAAACCTTAGACACATCCAAGTTAGTCAAAGGTCTAATGAACTAATAACATCAGCATGTAATTACATCTTCTGCTACACATATGTCAGAATCATCATATTACTAGACTCGATAATTTTCCAAGCCTATCTGCACTAACCTTTGATGTAGGCTCAAAGTGAATTGACAATATTAAATCATAGCACTTTGAATAGGGCTCAAGAGTCCATTAACATAAATGTCGCAACCATGGACATTAAGTCAGCAAAACTAGAATTGAAATTTTATAAATATAGTATGAAGAATAAACGAAGAAATGAAGAAGAAATTGAACGAAGAACCAAGGAAGAACTGCACTGGCAGCAATACGTCTGTGAACAAACTCTACGTACAAAGATTCCCAATCTAATAGGGTTTTCTTTTTTAGGTTTATGTTGGTTTTAAATTTGAGGGTATTTTTGTCTATTTATGTGAGTTTTTGCTATACTTGAAATTTTTTACAAAAATTGACATTTTTGAAATTAAGGGTCAAGTTTTGGCTATTTTTGATAAATTCTCTGAACTCAAGCCCTCCAATGCAAAATTAAACGAAATTTTTTCCTTAAAACCAAAAATTAAGTACCATAAACATTCTTACTGTAGTTTTAGTGTTGGACCTTTTAATTTGAGTATTATGTAACGTGGTGATTAGATTATTTGTTTGATGTTAGAAAGGTTTTATACCTTTGTTAGGGTTTAGTGAAACAGGAATTTTTGTTCTCTTTTTGGTCGAACAAGAATTGCGGTGACGATTATATAGCCTTCTGGTGCTCTCTAGCTCCCAAGGTGTCTGTAATGCTGCTGGGAATGAATATGCAAAATCTAAATTTTCTGCCTCATTTTTTTCCCTATAAATATGAAAATCTAATCTCTTGTATTTGGTGTGCAGGCTGTGAAATTTATGTGCGCCCAAAAGTTATTGTTTTGACGATTGTATTGTTAATTTGTTTATTCGGGTCTTTCCATAATGAACTTGATCGATGTGTGGTTTGTTTTCAATGGAATAGAATGACCCGGTTGTGGCCATAGGGGGTTCAGATCTAGAATTGAAGCTAGTGATCGGTGTCCACCTGCATTGTACGCACAATGCCTCCTGGTGTCAAGGAATTGAGAGATTATCTTAAGATGTTCTTGGGTATATTAAAAAGTTGAGTTTATGTTACATTCCTGGGTTGGGCTCAAACCTTATATAGTCCTTGCTCTTTTAACAGTAACTAGTCACTATTAAAGAAATTAAGAGTAGTTGTCTCTACGCTTAGAGGTCTTGTTCGAATCGTTCCTGTTTCAATATTGCTTGTATTTAAAATAAACAACAAAAAAAAATATTTCTATGGAGTCAACTTGTGTTGCTACTTCTCTAACCTCTCACATGGCGTCGGTTTTACATGGATCCCACAACATCATGAAATCCATCTTATGAGATTTAGTAGATCAGTAGAGAAGATCACTCTGTCAAACCATATGTAGAAAAGATATCCAAGTGGGACCTATCGTAGGTTGTGATGTCTTCAAACCTGGTTCAGTGTTTGATGTGAATCAACTAATAAGTTTGCTCACTTTCAAAGGTTGCATTGAATGGATCAAACCTGGTGGTTTAATTTGCTGATGTCATGATATAACATCACTCAATTATTCTCTTTCTTTCATCAATTTCATGCTAGTAGTAGTGGTTAAAACTACCCCTAATATAATAGTTTATTTACAACCCAAGAAGATATTTTCTGGTAATAATAATTTCACAGATGGCCAGACCATTGAGACAGTGAAAGATTTTAGCAAAGCACATAGAAACAACTTAATTAGTAATTTACAAAAGCTTAGTTAACGGTGCTTAATTTCTTAATGCACATGCATTACAATATATAAGATACATACATAGTCAACCTGAATTCCACGTGGAGGAAGGCGCACTGTCAGATCATTTGACCTCCGTGCCCTCCTAAGCTACAAAGAAAGCCTTAGGTCTAAACCATTACCTCCTTTGTCTTCTTTTTTATCATCTTCTTCTGTTTTAGAGGGACCCGCTTCTACATGATGACCAGAGCTCTTATCATCCTCAAGGAAGTCTTCTGGTTGAAATGCTGGGTTCCAAGCCCCAGCATCAGCAGCCTTGTCTTCTTCTTGCATCTTCTTCTCATCTTTTTTATCCTTTGACTCATGATTGCTTGAGTTGCCCCTCAAAAGTTCACGCACCTCCCTTGTACTTCTAATCAGAGCAAAGAATTTCTCAATCTTTTCCTCTTCATCCTCTTCTTCAGTTTCTATCTTCCTTTTCTTTCTCTCTCCTTCCATGTTTTCTTCTCTTCTTAGTTTTGTGTGTGTGTGTGTGTGTGTGAGAGAGAGAGAGAGAGAGAGAGAGAGAGAGAGAGAGGAAGACAGAGACAGAGAGACAGAGAGAGAGGGGGAGGAGATATCAGATATGGGCTAGTAGCCTAGTATAGTTTTTCTTTTCTTTCTAAAGATTACATCTGAACATGGTCTTTTTCTATGGAGTAGTGCCCATTACTTAATGCGTGAGAGAGAGAGAGAGAGAGAGAGAGAGAGAGAGAAGCAATGGACATCATTTTGTTTTCTTCTGCATTGCTTCTATTATTTCTTTAACTGGTTTTGTGTGCAACATAGAAAGAGAAAGAGAATAGCTAATCGATTGCTTATGAACTCGGAAGTGTGTTGCTTGACTCTTTATAAGTCGCTGCCGCGTAATTTTTTAACAAGAAAGATAAGAGTCATTGATAAGAGGATGACACATTGACAAGAATGCCCATTCGAAACTCTGCATATTTTGACTCGCACAAGATTCCAATAGTGTAAGAAACCAGTGGTGCAAAGGTCAATTCACATTATTGGTTGCCCTTGCCCAAATAATTGTGAGCGTCATCCCCGTAACGTAAGGTTCCACCAACTTTGTAGTGACCACAGTATTAAGACATGTGATAATATGACATCTTGCCGGTCCTTGATTCCTTGATTCCTTGATATATTTATATTATGGGGTCATATCATGATGTAGTCTTTTTTATTTTTAAACCCATCATGCTATCTTTTCAAGGTTAAAAGAGATTATAAGTTTGAATCTCTCCATCCCATCGATTGAAAAGAAAAAGCTACCTTACACTTACAGAGAAGCGAATCAATCGTGCACTCATGACTTCCGTAGAACATAAACTGTTAACTCAATATCGTATACTGAGTCATTAATGAGTATTTGATTTAGTAACACTTACTATAAACAATTTGCTAAAATGATCAATGATTGAAACGCACAGTATCTCATCCAAAAAAATACATATAAAAAGAAACATATTATATGGCAATGTGAAGCAGCGCAGAAGCCATCTTGCAGCATTGCTGACCACAGAATTTTCTGGATGGAATTCTGGAAACACAAAGCTATGAAGGGAAGTATAAGTATTAACACAATCCAAGTGGAAAATAATCATGAATTACATGATAAGGCAAAAGAAAGAGCCCCAAGAAAATAACTTATACAGAAATCTTAAATTGCTAGTCCTCTGCCCAGCGAACCCCATGTTTTGCCCACAGATAGTAAGCTCCTACCGGGCCTCTACCCCCCAGCTCATACAGCTCCGGTGCTATATTTTTCTTGTCTATCTCATTCAGAATTGGGGTTAGAATATTCCATGCAGCTGCGAGCTCATCGCTTCTCAGAAACAGATGGTTGTCTCCATTAATGACATCAAGAAGGAGATGTTCATACGAATCAGGCACCTCTACATTGTACCTGCCATAGTAACGCAAACAAGCACTTTTAAGTCATATAAAAATTGTGTACTGGAGTAAACCTGGCAATGCTATGCTAGAGTGCTTACTTATCCTTATAAAGCAAATTCAGCTCCGGAGAATCCAACTTGAACCCCAATCCTGGAATCTTATTGTTAACTCTGACTAGGATGGCTTCATCAGGTGTATCACGCAGAATCAGTTCATTGGTAGCGAGGTCGATGTTGTGCCCCATACGCTCACGATAAAGGTTTCCTGGGACACGATGAAACTGTATGCGTATCTCCACCCTGCATTGTACAATTTGTACTCAGTAAGAAGATTCTAAGTTGTCAAACTAGATTCTAGCTTAAATGTTTGACTAATATAATGAATTTTCCCCACAAAGTAGTACTAAAATGTATGTAACCTATGTTGGATGAGTCCCATGCCAGCTTTGATCAGGAACGGCACACCATCCCAGCGTGCGTTGTCAATGTACAATGCAGCAGCGAAATATGTGGGGGTCAGGCTGTTCATAAATAGATCAACCTTATCTCTAGTACTCCCTTTATATTGGCCAAGTATAACATCGCTTGGCTCCAATTTCCGGACTGATCTCAGAAGTTTGGCCTGAAAATAAGCTTGTCATAAAAACAACTATAGGCACTCCGTAGGAGTATAACATGCAGGCATACCTTTTCATTTCGTATATCTTCCCCATCTAGACTTATTGGTGTTTCCATGGCAAGCAATGCTATTGTTTGAAGTATATGACTGTGTACTATGTCACGAATGATCCCGTAACCATCAAAGTACCTTCACAAAAGGAAAAGAAAATAAGTTATCATGGCAGTTCTTTCTCAGGTTTTACTGTATGTACTCTAAAAGCAAGGATACAGCCAACAGGATTACCTTCCTGCTTGGACACCCAAGTTTTCTGATAAAATGACCTGCAACACAACTCAAGTGTTTTACATAAAATATATATACATATGAATATGTACATGCTACATATATTTCATTAGATGAAAAAAAAAATAGAAAGATAACTTACCTGTACATTGCGTATATATGTACGGCTCCACAGTGGCTCAAATACTAGATTAGCAAATCTTAAAACCGTGAGATTTTCAATAAGGTTCCTTCCTAGAAGATGATCAATCCTGAAATAAGAGACACTGTCAATACATGAATGGATGATGTCAATCTTCTGTTTGATATGTGTAGAAAGTATAAACAGGAGACCTGTATATTTGTTTCTCTTCAAACTTAGAACGCAGAGACTGCGTCAACCGATGAGATGATAATACATCAAAGCCAAAAGGTTTCTCAATGATTACACGATTCCAGCCCTTCAGGGTTTGGGCATTATCAGCGAGAGAACATGCAACATTTATAAGTGCTTCTTGTGGCACAGAAAGGTAAAATATCCTGTTTGCTTCAGATTTTCCCTGAGGTAGGTTAGCTGTTACAGAATCAATTATCAAAAGCATCCAGCTAGTAATTTCAAAAGGCAAATAAGTGCTATTTAAGACAGAAAATATTTTCTTAATATCTGTGCATTCATTTTACCTCAAACTGCTTCATCAGCACATTGAGTTTTGACATCCCTTCTCTGTTGTCATAACCTCCATTAATGTAGTGTGTTCTACTGAGGAAAACATCCATTTTGTCTCCACAGTTTTCTCTGAGAGGTATTTGTATGTCCAATGGTTAACTTAAAATGCAGTTAGGCCCTTTGAAAACAGATGCTATTACATACAACAAAAAATAAACTAGAAGACATATCATGGAATATAAGGTGACACAAGAAGCATACTGATGGTCAACACGACAAGTCAAAGTTGAAGCGATCATGGATCTCAGATCTTCATCTGTCATATTCTTTCTTGAATAACCAAAGATACTTACATTCTGCAGTCAAAAAGTAAAACAATGAAAGAAGGAAACACTTTTTTACTCAATGAAATGTAGAACAATTTGTATAACTTGGTTCTTGGCCAAACAGGATCTTCATTGTACATGCTAGAACCATATTAATCATGGATTGATGATAGTGTCACAACAGAAATTCCCATAAAAATCTGGCTGGACAACGATAGCAAAGTCATCCTACCTCAGGAAGAAAGCCACTGTAATACAGCGCAAAAAGCGCTGGAAAAATCTTTCTCCTAGCCAGCTCACCAGTTGCTCCTATGACCGCAATGCAGAGTGAGGGTTCTTCACCACACTCAACGAGAAACTTGGAGGAATGTGTTTGTGGCATGGAAGGAGATTCCACTGAAGTAGTGGGCTCCGTTACAGAAGCATGTGGCTGGGAACTTGGCAATGAACTTTCTTCAAGTTCTGAAGTTATTTTCGAAGTTTGATCATTGGAGTCTGCAGATACATCATCTAGAACATGTAAAGACTTCACCATGAGGAAAAGGAGAACAGTAATTGTAAAACACCCCTTTTTTTTTATTACTAACCATCAACCAATTTTAAAGTTGATGCGATATACCTTCATGTGATAAAGTCGAACCAGATTGATCTGTTGAGTGATCTTTGAATTGATTTTTAATACTCTTATACTCATTTGTAGGTCCAAGTTTTCTCTGATGCTGACGGTGTAAGTTCTCAAGTATCCATTGTTTTAAGCCACAAAATTTTCGGCACAAATGGAGAGGTCCTCCATGAAGCACAACTCGTCCACCCGACCCAGAACGGAAGTAGTTTGCTGGAGCCTACAAACAACCCAAAAAAGAAATAATTTTTCCTTAATTAGTACAGATGACAACTAGCCCTGATGGAGCTGATAAAGCTAGAATAATATGGCCCCATCCCGAGTCCCTGCCCATTCCCACTTGTGGGATGAGCTTGGATGAGCTAGAAATAGTCAATGAAACTGAATGAATCAATTAATCACCAATACACACATTTTTATTGGTAATGAAAATTATACCCAATTTCATCTCACCCCCAAATCCCTCTTTTCAATCTCTTATTCCCCCTAGAATCTAATGAGACAAAAAATGAGAGAGAGGAAGATGGATAAAAATGTCATAACCTCAAAGCCTGAAGTTCAAACCATCTTGACCTTACTCTATCTTCCTCACAGACCTGCCCCCCAAATTCAGCACTTTGGATTTTAGGAGTTTAAGACAAGTTAATTAACAAGACCTCACTCATGGTGCATAGACTCAAAATCTCATCACCCCACATCTATAATTAATTAGAACCCATTTACAAAAGTCCTCCTTTTCCCCTATCTCAGTTATAGCTTCAGCTTGGTTGTCCAAAAAACACAAGACAAAGCAAAGCAGAGCAAAAGACAAACAAATTTGATCATTTCCAATTTTCCTTTTTCAGTCTAAAAGATCCAAAATTTTCACTGCTTCTCACCCATTTTCCCAGAAACCAAACACCCCATTTCACCAAATACTACACTAAACACTATGCATCACTACACAAAGATAAAAGTACAAATGAATATACATATTTGATAGTTGAGAGCTCACCCCAAAAGAGAACTGGTAAGCACTGGAGCAGAGATAGCTTGGCCTTGAAACTGAGGATGGTACAGATACAGCTGAAAATGACATCGACATCCTTTTGATCTGTTTACCAGCTGGGGCTCTACATTCTTTTGATGTTCTGTGACTGAGCTCTCATTGAAGAATACAGAGGACGATTGCAACCAAAGGTTTGTGGTTTTGGGTGCACCCGACAAAACTATCATTGACCCTGTGAGATTAATCGATCGGTTGATAAGTTATCATGGGTTAAACCAGAAATGATTGGGCGGCGGGTGAGAAAATGGACGGTTGTGATGGGATGAGAGAGTGTTATTTAATCTTACAGTCTTTAGATTTTGATATGTACTACGTTATCATTGTGTCTATTGTCTTGGTACGTCATGTTCACGTACTTTTTATTTTTGTCGTTTCTTTAAAACCGGGGGCTTTGTCGGTTTGTTCTTATTCAGAAAAACAAAAACAACAACCGGGGATGTTTCATGGGCTTGGTATAAAACCTTGTTTGGTTATTTAGGTTGGATCGGATGTAGGTCTTTTTGAATGTCCGTGGCCCATTTGTACCCTACACTTTCTCATGGCTGCTATCATTTGTTCTCTAATTCCTTACAATTGACCAACTGACCAAGGGTAAGTTGGAATGTGGCAATCAAAGGAAAAAAAACACCAACCATTGATTTTACTCACCCAATATTTAGACTTTGCATAAACATGCCCTACATTAGTTCTTGTATAGAAAGTCTCAAGCATAAAACAAGTTTACACAATAAACTCTTACAATCGTCTTTCATATATTCGTCACGTGATTAGTTATCGTGATCGGTGAATATTCATTTATATAAGTTCTTTTTTATGGGTGGTTGAGCTACAAATACTATGATGCATTTATTGCGTTAAAACAATTTTTCTTTTCTTTTAAAAAAGGGAAGTGCTTAGTACAATAATTATGAAAGTAGTTTGGTATAATCTGTGACAAACCCACATGTGATCATAGCAAAACTCAATGGAAAAGAAGGAATCTTTGGGTTTAGTAGCTAAATTATCTTTGGTAGGACCAAAACTCAAGCACAAACAATAAACGACAAATCATTGGATAATAAACAGTGAGAACCAAAGAAAAGAAAAAGAAAGTTCCTTACCTAAATTAAATGTACAGTTGCCAACTCCAATAAAGAATGTATGCAAATATTATATTTCAATTAACAATTATAAATCCTCCATAAATCATGAATATATATATACTCTGTTTTTTGTTGTTTGATAGTGACCCTCCACTAACACGTTCCTTGCATAACCTCCTCCCCTTCTCTCTCTCTCTCTTTCTCTTTATCTCTCTCTCTCTCTCTCTTAATCAATCCACTTGGAATCTTTACCAGTTGTAAATAAATCATCTTGAGCAGATAAGACCGGTGGTTGAGGCTTGTGAAGATTACAGGCAAGAAAAGCTCTTCTTTTTTTCTTTCGATATAATTTTCAGAATCTTGCATGTTTTAATTCCAAGGCTTTGTTTTTCAAGGTAGATTTCTGGGTCTTTGACTTATATCATCATCTGGATGCCTCATCAGTCTGATTCCAATTCGCGTTTTGGTTTTACTTTTTTGGGTTCGGATGGCTTTGTTTAAATCCAGTGTTTCATCTATGTGGTTTGTCTTGGGAGCTAAATTTTTGGAGGGTCTAATACAATCTGATATCCACTTTTATTTGATCTTCATGCACTGCAGGATACTGAGTTTTCAATTTATATCCAATTAAAAAAAATTTATTGTTTGTCAGTTAGTTTAGTTTCTGCCTTCATACAGAGCCATTTTCTCTTCTTGGTGGTGACTGCTGACTCTGAGTTTCTGGCCATGGGGATTTCTCAATTTTGCATTTGATGTGGTTTTTCGAATAAAAAATTGGTGTATGCAGTCTCATCCATAAAGATGCTTATCTAAAAGAAATGAAAACAAATGGGCTTCAGTCCTTTGATTGGTCTGACTGAACTTGATCGGCTCATCAAGTATTAAAATTGTAATTGCTAGACAGACAGTTGCTAATTGTTTATAGTTTAAGTGTTTCAACAGTATCCATTCATTTAATTGTTTAGCTGTTATATTATGGTATTAACTACTACTATGCTACGAGCATGATTTCAAGGAAGAGCATTGATATAATGAATCTGTTAAGAATCAGCTTTCGGATTTTAAAGTAACCAATGAGTTTCATAGATAAAAACTTTCAGTGGTGTAAACTCAGCAGGAGCTAAACCTAGACAGGTTGCTGATTGTAGACCTAGACTTCTTTACTCTCTATGTACTTGTGTTTATGCCTCTGCATTTGTTTCACTCATTTCCGGTTGTTTGATGCAGGTACTTAGATATTACTTCCGATTTGATGCTATAACACATTCCTCAATTAGATATTAATAGCTCATAAATGGGGTCTGAAGGGCCTTCAACAGTAACAATTCATGTGACCGGTTTTAAGAAATTCCATGGAGTTTCAGAGAATCCAACTGAGACTATTGTCAGTAATCTCAAAGAGTATGTGAAGAAGAAGGGTTCACCAAAGGGTCTGGTTCTTGGAAGTTGCAGCATTCTTGAGACTGCAGGACAAGGAGCAGTTGTTCCCCTATACCAGACATTGCGATCTGCTATCAGCGAGCAGGATTCTTCAAATTCCAGTAGAATTATTTGGGTGAGTTGTTCTCATGTCTGGTCCATCGCTTCTCATTTTCTAAGCTGGATCACACTTTATTTCAAGTTCCTTTCTTTCTGTCCTTAGAAGCTAGTCTGCTAAGCACATATAACTAGCTAGTAGACTTTAAAGACCCCTACATATCTAAGAATATCAGCATGGTTTGGGTTCAAAACTTGGGACTCAAATTCATTTCTCATTTCTCCTTTAAGCAATGTTCTTTTGATTTGTTCATATAGGAACTGGATACAGGTCAAAGAATTTATAGGAATTTGATTTCATGATTGGTTCTTTTCCATCTGGTTTTTCTATTACGTGAAAGAAATTTTCACATAAAACTTTAGAAAATAGCCATTATCAACATCATCTATAGAGAAAAAGCTTGTGCACATGTATTAAAGATTTTACTAGAACTTTAATAAATAACAGAACTTTCCATCACATCTGTTCAAGAGCATTTCATCACTATGATAATAGTACTTGCGCAGATGTATTCATGTGTCATGTGTCTTACCCTTTCTTAATTTTAACCGTAATTATGTAGGTACACTTTGGTGTTAATAGTGGTGCAACAAGGTTTGCTATTGAGCATCAAGCTGTCAATGAAGCTACTTTTCGTTGCCCTGATGAGATGGGATGGAAGCCTCAGGTTAGATAGAACTTGTAGGGGTTGTCTCTGATGAATTGGGATTTTATTTGACATCAGCTTCGAAGTTCTTCAGATTTTGTTAACTTTTATCATATGTTTTGCAGAAAGTCCCCATTATTCCTTCAGATGGAGGAATTTCACATACACGAGAGGTAGGCTGGGTGGCCATGATTTTTTCATCATATGCTTCCTAAAGATTTCAATTATTTTCTCTTGCACCTCATAAATCATTATAATTTTTTTTATGATTACTTGAAGAATACCTGCTTGAAGGACTGAAGTTGTCTTGAAATAGGTTGACTTTATACCTTAAATTTCTTTTCTCCATGATGGTTACATAACGGTTGATTCAGAGGTCTTATTTTGTATTTGAATATGTGACTACAATGGTTCCTCATTTTCCTCAATCTTGAAACTATTTCTTCTTCTGATTATGTGCAGACTTCTCTTCCTGTTGAGGACATAACAAAGGCCTTGGCGAAGAAGGGTTTCGAGGTGATGACCTCAGATGATGCAGGCCGCTTTGTATGCAACTATGTCTACTACCATTCCCTTCGGTTTGCAGAGCAAAACGGGATCAAATCGCTCTTTGTTCATGTGCCTTTGTTCTTGACCATAGATGAGGACACACAAATGCAATTTGCTGCTTCCTTGTTAGAGGTGCTCACTTCATTAAATTAGCAGTCCATCATCATCCAACCACATCTGTATGCCAAAGAGCTTAATCGAAAAGCTAGTATGAAGTTGCCACGTTTATTAATGTGGATCAACGCTTCATAAATGGAAATGCTTGAATAATCAGGAAGTGTAATCAAAGCAAAACTGTATTGAAAGAACATTCTTAATTATGATGTATTTTTCCATAAGTGTTTTCCAGCAGGGTCCGGTAACTTGCCGAAATTTTTCAATCCAGTTTGTGAATGACATCCCAGTTTGCTCATGGAGCTTGCTAGTACTTGTGTCATGTGCATCTCCTTCAGTGTGATATTATTGGATTAAAAGAAAAAAAAGTACATAAGGTGAAGAAACTGAAATCAAATGAGTATATTTTCCATATAAAAAAAAGAGGGGAGGATCCAAAACAGAGCAAGAAAGTCAAAAGAGAGCAGAACAATTGCTTGAGTTCATAAGAAGAGTGGGAGAAAAACTTTCCTCTTTGGAGATAAGGTATGATGCACAATGAATGACTAACAAACCGCTACTATTTTCATAGTAATGGGTATGGCAATTACTTGGCACTCTGAGGTTGCATCTAGAATTGCCAAAAGTCAATGCTTTCTCTATCGAGAGATATATGTGATGTGGTCCTGTATGACCTATTATGCCAGATGTTATAATGGTGCTCTATGGTCCCCCATTAGATGGACCAATCTAAAAACATCACTCAGCGGAGAAAAAACTTGCATATTCCGGTAGTATATATTGTTTAAGTATGTCTTTCTCTTTGTTTGATTTCTCGAAAATTTAAGAAATGACTTAAAAAGTTTTTGAAAGTCCGTCCCTCTTCATGTAACTTGTCAAAATTTCAACGAATGACTTGAGAATTTTTTAATGAGTAACATTCATCACTAGTAATGAGTAAAGCTCAATTTTTTGGGTATGTAACCAGATGAACGGCCTCGAAATTTATAAAATTCTATGTAAGAAAGTAAACTTTCAACTTTTGGTTTTGTCATTTTATTTTCTTGCTGAAGTCTTTTCAACCCAGTTTCACCATAAGTCCAATGGTTCACTATAAACTAGTGGAGGCTGTTGCCTGCCCACCCCCAGTTAGGCATATACAGACAAATGAATTATGACCATAAAGTTCTTTTGTAATTGTGGATGTACCTTTTTCTGGTCTACTGCTATGTTTATTAGTGATAGTTTTGCATGACTCACCGTTTTCTTTTGGCATTCACATCAATTGCTTTGCTTCGTAACATTGGCAAAATAGGATTGCAACTTCTAATATCCAAAATTTATTCATATAGGATTGTGATTCTTAACAAGGGAAAATTCAGACACATTGTCTTTTGATGAATGATGAATCGTCGAGAGTTACACTTTTGGCCCCTAAATTATTTGGTTGTCATGATTCTGTTGCTCTTTCTTTAATAAGCTCTGGTTGTTATTTCTAGTATAATAGTTTTGTTTCCGAATTATGAACTCGTCTGCATTATGCAGGGTATGCTCTGTCAAGGCTTGAAGGATTTGACAGAGCATGGGAAGCAAATTACAAAATCCAAATTTCCCTATTAATTGTTCTATTGAGGGGATGTTCAGAGGGAGATTACACGGTATAATCCACTTCAATGAAGGAATATTGAACAATGACATCACCTGGGAAGTTTACCTTTGCAATGGCCCTGAGTAATAATAGTGATAATTTGGATGAGACTTTGATGATATGTTAAAAGTCGGCAGTCTTTCAAACTGCGGATAATACACTCTTTTGCAGCGCTTAGCGACGGTTTCTTTTGCTACTAAAACCCACGAAAACCGTCGCAAGAAATCAAAACACCGTTGCAAGAGGTTTTGCTGTCACATTTTCACTGAGAAATGTATTTTTCTCTGTGTTTTGGGGTAGACGTTTGTTTTACTTCCCCTAAAATACTATGAGCAATTTGATAACTCATGTAAAAGTCACAACAAACTTGATTGCACCAATGCAACCCAACTATATGAAAAACGAACAACAATTTCTCAGTTAAGAAGCCGTAATGAAAGGCCAGCTGTGTTCGAAGTAAACTCCACATTATGTGAAAATAATTTTGATGTTTACTAATTTGATTACTGAGCACAACTTGGATTTAAACGAGATTGAAAAAGCACAAGATTTAAGTACAAACCCAATTTCTAGCTTATCTACAAGCTCTTGGATATTAAGAACAAAACATAAAAATAAAGCATTCTACTACACCATATACTATATATAAGAGACTTTTGGACTTCTTAATTACTTGTCATTTCGTTTAGAATAGCTATATTTCTTTTATATGTATCTCAGTTTACTTTTGATTGGTTAACACCTTTCATTACCATTCTGTGGCAACATTTCTGGAGTGCCCCCCAACAAGCAGAAAAACTGGTGGAATTGTAAGGGTCTGCACTGTTCCATATGCACTCCAGCAAATTGGATTTGACACAAATTTTCCTTGGGCAGGAAGCAGTTCCACTTCAGAGAGAGTGAGATTTGTGCATGGCATGGAGTCGCTGCAAGCAAAATGCATAGGTGGGCTTCTCACATCATATGTACCTTTTATCCTTGAGTACAAAATATCTGATATGTGAACTGCAGAGGTTTGGTTAGGGCATTTCTTGGTGAGGCAATAGTACTGATCTAACAAAATCGGGTTTCGAACGGTGTCCATATGAATGTTTTGGAATGTTACTCTTGACACAGACCCTGATCCACCTTGCCAAGTTTTGATTCGAACCCCATTGTCAGAGTGCTTGATGATTGAGTCCTTAACTGTAATGTTCGAAACACATGCTCGAGAATTGCGAATTCCAAGACTTCCAATGCTACATGGGAAGAAAGAGGATTTGGGTTGAGTGAATCTTTGAGAATAATGGAACTTTAGAAACCATCCATATGTGCTTTGAAGCAGTGGATGTACCTTATTCCATGACTTGGACCACAAGTAATATTCCTAATCTCCACATTATAACAACCTGCTCCAATTGATACGCAGTCATCACCTACATGAAGTATCAATAACCAAAGAGCAAGGTAAGCTTTTGAGAGATTGCATGATGGACAACAAATTGGAAGCTTCTGTTGTGTAATTACCATTGGAGATGACTGAATTATATAGTTTCACATTGTTTGTGTTCTCTATGTGAATTCCATCTGTATTGGGACTTAGAGAAGGTGCTTTTATGTTAAGTGATTCTATGTAGACGTTTTGACAGTTATCGAACCGGAAATGAAACTGGGGGCTGTTCTTAACTTTGAGTCCTATCACACTCAGATTAGAGCTCATGAAAAATCTTATGGCCTGCAACATAAAGTTCATATGTAAACAATATTTCCACCAAAGTTGACCAATGCTTACTTCACAAGTTCTGAATTTTTTTTACTGTGACTTACAACTGGGCTATCACAAGGACCAGGCTGTGTTGTTCCAGTAAAACCCTGTTCCATTGAGTATGTATAAAAAAACATTGTGAGAAATTGGCCTAAGAGTAATAAAATAAAACCAATGGTGCTGTGAAAGAATAACAAAGATGCTTACTTTGTGCGGCTTGCAAGGAAGGTTCCACCATTTCTCTCCTCTCCCATCTATTACACCAGTTCCTTGCATTGACATTTCATTGATTCTGTAGAAAACAAGCCATTGTCTCTTGCTGTTATTTCTTGGCCATGAATCAGGTCCATCTGGTGGCATTAGTGTCCCATCAATCTTCCCCATCAACCAGCCAAAGAACGCGTTAGATTTCGGTAAGACAAAAAATTTGCCAAATTTATCTCTGTCTCTCAAAGAATTTTGTTGAAAAAGCAATGCATATTTGTGTAGATGTAACTACACAATTCTGGAAAACTCAAGAATACTCATGTTGCTAGACTATGGCGGTGGAGCATGATGGCTAAACAATAGCCACAAAAATAAATATTGTACAAAATAGAAGTTTCTAGTATAAGCCACACACTTGTGGCCGGAGGAAAAAGAAGCCAAGTTGGTGGACTTGGTGATGTCGGCAAAGAATGCCTATAAAGAGGCATGCAATGCAATAAAACAAGGTGGAGTCTAACAAATAGAACTCCCAAACTATAAGGGAGCCAAGAGCTACCTAAAATCCTAAGCTAGAAAAGCTGGGAAACTAAGCAACAAAGCTAGATATCTAGCTAATCAACTAAAGGTGGTGGGTACAACTCCCAATCCACGAGGGAGCCACATGTGAGCTACCCAACCTATGGAAGAAGCTTGAAGACAAGAGCTCAAGATAGGGCCAAATAGCCCAAACTAATCTAAATCAAGTGTGGTGGCCAATAAGCCAATAAGCTAAGAAGGAGGCCAATTAGCCTACACCAAGCTATGTACTATTCTTTTCCAATGTAATAAAATCACTTCGTTCAACTATTGTCGTATTGTTCTAAACCCTTTCACACATAAACCAACAATGGTATCATAAACACTCATCACACACCTCCTAAAATTCCAACAAATTTAAATAAAGTTCCAGCCTTTAAGAGGAGACCTAGATTAATTACCCGCATTTTGAGGCCAGGTTTACATGGCCCTGTGAATATTGTAGACTGTATCATGAAGGAATGACCTTTAGGAACAAGAACTTCTGAATCTTCAGTTTGACAAGCCGTGTCCCAAGCCAGCTTGAATGCTTGTGTGTCATCAGTAACACCATCCCCAATGGCACCATAAGATCTTACATTGAAAATAGTGGTAGGATTGTAGCTTGGGCTAACAGCCTCTGGTGCCAGAGAAGGCGGCAATGAAATTTGAGACATCAGATGCAAACCCTTATCATGTTTAGTGTCAGTACTTCGAAGGCTGCCGAGTATCGGAGGAAAGAAGAAACAAAAAGAGAAGAAAAAAATTGGAATAACAAGTACCCGAGCAAATGTCATGTTCAGCATTTGCTTTCACTTAGTTGCATGTGGAGCAAATGGAATGAAAGAACTTTTAGCTACTTATAGAAATAAAGTGCTTCTATTGTCCTAGAGTTTATAGCCAAATTCATGCTGTTGGATTTCAAAGAGTGCAACTGGCAACAAGGATTTTGACAGGCAAATTGTCAGTGTCATCAGCTAGGCATTGTAGGGTAAAAATAGAACTGTAGAGCAAGGCACCCACGATCTTAGGAAGTTGAATGTACCATAAGAGTTAAGATTTATACAGTATGTGACCACTTTGAGCACCAAACAACTTGCAAGAGATAACGCTACAAGTCTACAATCTTTGGGATAAGAGGCTATTTCTGCAGCAGAGTGAGTGTAAGTACGTCATTTTCATATAAGTACGTCATTTTGATACTTAGAAATTTTTAGTGGGAAGCTACTTTTGAAGGTCAGTCCACGCCTAACACCATTCAATAATGCATGCTGTGAGACCGACCAGTTCGATTTAGAGAGAGCTTGTTTTGGCTTTTTGGGCGCAATGTGAAGAAGGGTCTGCATGCGAGGAGCTATAGCCGGCCAAGAGAAGAAAAGAAAAGGTTGGGTGGATTAAAGAGTAGATTTTTGAGTGGTATAGCATTTGAATGATTATGTGCACCCATTTTGGACAGGAAAAGTTGTTGCTTTGGGATCTTTAAATGAATCCCATTTTGGCTTTTCCATGATTATATTCACCCATTTCATCAGAAAAATGGCAGTTTGTTGTGAAACTAGAAGTTGTATAGCATGAGTCATGACAAGGGAGTTGTAATTGTCCTTCACCCGAGGTCCTAGGTTTGATTTCCTCCTCCCCAATATTGCTTGTATCAAAAACTCCCATTTTGGTTTTGTTTGTAATAACCTATAGCCTATGCACCCGAGATCCTAAGTTTAATTCCCCCTCCATAATATTACTTGTAAAAAATAAAATAAAATTAAAAAGTTGTATAGCATGATGCAAAGGCCTGAAAAAAGAAAAGCAATGATATATTAGCCATTTTTGGAAGGTTTTGTTATTCCCTACATACGTATAGCTTGCAGCCAAGCATTATAGATGATGGGATTGAAAGTCTTGAAGAAGACAGAAATGAAATCATATTTCTTTTGGGATTATTATGAGGTCAGCAAAAAGCAAACTTCATGCTTTGAAGAAACTCAATCCACTGACCCACCAAACCAATAATAGCTTCTGGCTGCTGGTGAGGTCCTTTTATCTTCTTGAAGCAGACACTTCTTTATGTCGACATTCTCTCTTGAATGTCTGAATTAGGGTCACTTGGTTTAGACAATTTCAGTCCTCAAAATGTTGAGGTGAATGAGGCACATCTTTAAGTATAAAAAAGCAGCAATGAAATAAGTAAAAGAACAGGTCCTGAGCTTTGCAGAAACGCCAAGAATTTTGATTTGCTTACAGTGCTAGCAGGCTATGGCAACCCACCCAAGGCCCACATGATTTATAAATCATGTAAATCAGCCCGTCTATTATTCTAAGAAAGTTGACCAGCCTAAGCATGGCCAATGGAGACAGAAAATTGATTGGACGAATTGAACAATAATTTATTTTTTAATTCCAAAGGGCCTTATTAGTTATTTACCATCTGTTTTCCAGTCAACTGTTCTACAGTTTTATCTTGTTGCTATCTAGGTAAAAAGTGAAAAGTAAAATTTTGATAAATCCAATTAACCATATATTCATGAAAGTGAGAAGGGGGTTGTTCAGATTTTCAACTGATGCCGCCCATAATTTGGATAACGTCAGTTTGGAAAAGTTTTTGTTTTCCTAATAATCAAAAAAGGAAGAGGTTTGTTCTATAACATTCATTTTCCTAAGTTCAACTCCCTTGCAAATTGCAATGAACACTTTAGCACATTGCAGGATCAGATTTCGTCTAGACCTATGACCAAATTAATTAACCATGACAGCATTGTCAACACCGCTTATTAGAATCCTGTTGAAGAACAAATTTATTTTTAGGAAGTTCACCCATCATACAGGACCTCAGTGGCCGCGTGACACGTGTTTCGATGATCCCATAAGCCTTCCAGCAAAATGGGGGTTCAAAATTCACCTCACCATCTCCCTGAGCAGCTGCTGGGGGCAGTTGAACCTGAGAAAGTGTGATGTTTGTACATGGAACTGAGTCACTGCAAGCAAGATAAAACCCACTGTATGTGCTGTGTATGTTTGTGCATGAAACATCATAAATCATGAGGGCAGCAGTTTGACTGGGGCAGTGGTCTTTGAGGCTGGTATTGGTTGATGATAGTTTTTTACTTTGTCCATTTCTATGTTGTTGAAGTTTATTTTGGACACAGCTCCTGATCCACCTTGACATGGTTTGATCCTAAGGCCATTATCAGATTGCTTGATCACTGAGTCTCTCACTGTGATGTTCTTCACACAGGCTTCAGATTTGTCTCTTCCCAAACTACCAATGCTGCAAACCAAGAAGAGAATAATCATATGGGCCACTAAGTTTTGGTCTTAAATCTTAATTAATCTTTTAATTACTAGAATGGAAGCCTAATTAAATTAAGAGGTACCTTATTCCATGACTTGGACCACAAGTTACATTCATTATGTCCACATCATGCCTACCATCACCTAATGATGTGCAATCATCACCTGCATAGAAGTTCATTTGTTGAGAACTAATCAGCTTTGCTTAATGGTACTTAATTAATGAAGAATTAATAAGATCTTGTAGAATTAGTTACCAGCTGAAATTCTTGAATGGTGTATTTCCACATTGTTGGAAGCCTCTTGTGAATTCCATCGGTGTTCGGGCTATCACCCGGTGAGTTTATGTTGATGAACTCTAATCGGACATTTTGACAATCATCAAAGTAGACATGGAACTTGGGGCTGCTCTGAACACTGATTCCTTGTACTTCCAAGTTAGAGCTTTTCAAAAATCTTAGGGCCTGCACTATGAAAAAAATACAAAACAGAACATTACAACAGTTTTCTTCATTTAAATGCACGCATGCAATCGCTTTTCATTTTCTTCAAAAATCGAATTTCAAGTTGTGATTATGCCTTACGTTGGGGGTATGATCACAGCCACTTCCTTTCTGCCGTTTTATTAATTGATACAGGAACAAGATGTCAGCAACAGTCTTATAAAAATCTCAATTAAGCATTAATTAATTAACATTAGTAAAGAAAAAGCTAGATTACTGAAGTACAGGGGAGATTCCACCACTTTTCTCCTCTTCCATCTATAAGCCCACCTCCTTGCATTGTCATGTCATGGATTTCATAGAAGTCCAGCCAATCTGATTTACTATTTCTTGATGACCATTTATTGGCTCCATTAGGAGCCACAATTCTCCCATCAAGCTTCACATTTCAGACAAGAATTCCATCAGTTTTATATATCTATGCAAAAAAAATAAAAAATTCTTCTTTTTAATTAGTACATAATGTCACATAATTACCTGGAACAGTAGGTAAGATTTACAAGGCCCTTTGAATAGGATACTTTGTGTAAGGAAGGAATATTTATCAGGAACAAGAAAAACTACAGAGGATCTTTCGGCCTGGCAAGCGGCATCCCAAGCCTTACTGAATGCTTGTGTGTCATCAGTGACACCGTCCCCTGCGGCAGCAAACGCCCCATACGCTGAAGACCTTGGCATCATGAGCAACCACACCAGGTGAAAGTGAATGTGGTGCTGATTTTGATGAATTATGTGATGCTGATTTTGATTTTGATTTATGTGATTCTGACTTTGATGAATGTGATGGGGGTGATTTTGATGAATGTGGGGGTAATTCTGATTTTCTAGGTAGCTTGTGAAAGTGTACATTAGCTGCATGAACTGTATTTTGAATGGCAAGAATTATAAGAACTGACAAGACAATGAAGAGGGGAACAAAGATCTGAGAGAATTTCATACCTTTTAGCTTAAGCTTGATTTTGAATAGAACCAAAACATAAGATTTGCCTATTTATAGGAAAAGCTCCTTCAATTTTTTACTGTTCTTGAGTAACCTTTTCAATAGGTAGAAGCCAGGTTCTGTCTGTTTGGCGTCAAATGTGTAATTACTTAAATTGTATAATTAAACAGGTAATTACAATAAACTGCAGTCTACCTCGGATTTAACAGTTTCCGGTCTCTATCAATCACAGGAACGTAAACATCAAATGAGTATATCCGTCCGGCTATACTATTTTCAAATATTAAAAAAAGGGGACCCCAGCTATTAGGCGCCACATGTCAACACAAATCTTTTTAAAAAAAAATTGAAACCAGGGAGTATAGCCGTGCGGCTATACTAGTTTCTTTTTTTTTAAAGACGCCATGTGTAAGTATAGCCGCCCGGCTATACTATTTAAATACATTATATTTAAATAGGTTAACTTTCATAATTCATTATTTGCACTTGCATTGGTGCGTCCATATATTGTGGGCCGGCCACATCTCACTCCCATCCCAAATTCAACCTTCAAGTTCCAACTTCCGAGTGTAACAATCTCCTTAATTTCTTCTCGTGTTCTTCAAAAACAAGATTAGGTGCTACATGAAGACAAAGCTCTTCTCTTCTTAATTCCCTAGAATTTGTTCTTTCTTGGTTTCAACGCGGCTGTACCAAGGAAACAAAATGTTATATACCTATTTTGGTGTACGAAACTATAATCCCTTCTTGCAATATTGAATGGTGAATGAATCTTTAGCAAACAATATCTAAATTAAATTTCATATACGTCACGTGGAATGGGAGAGCAACTGACACATTCATTTGTTGCATTTGGATGACGAAATTTGAATTCTAAGGAAGATATCTCTTGGAATTTATTGTGGTGCTGTTATGAGTGTTTGTGATATCATTGTTGGTTTATGTGTGAAGGGGTTTAGTTACACTCTGATACCACTTGTTAGATTATTGGGTGAAGGGGTTTAGGACGATAGGACAATAGTTGAACAAAGTGATTTTATTACTGTGGAAGAGAATAGTACATAGCTTGGTGTAGGCTAATTGGCCTCCTTCTTAGCTTATTGGCCACCACACTTGATTTAGATTAGTTTGGGCTATTTGGCTCTAGCTTGAGCTCTTGTCTTCAAGCTTCTTCCATAGGTTGGGTAGCTTACATGTAGCTCCCTCGTGGATTGGGTGTTGTAGTGATTAACTCCCATTACCTTTAGTTGATTAGCTAGATAGCTAGCTAGCTTGTTTAGGTTGCTAGCTTACTAGCTTAGATTTGGGTAGCTTGTTTGCTCTCACATAGATTGGGACTTGTATTAGTTGAGCCTACATCGTTTGGGAGTTCTTTTTGTTGACTCCACATCCCATTGTAGGCTGCATGCATATTTATAGGCATCTTTGCCGACATCACCAAGTCCACCTATTTGGCTTCTTTTTCTAGTCCCTTTTGTGGTGACTTTTAGAGCACTTCCACCCATTTGTCATGGCAAAGGACAAGGGGAGGCAAGGCTGTTACTATTCACATGAATAGTGGCAGCCCTTGCAAAAGACTTGTTGTGTTTCCACCCATTGTCATGGCAACCCAAAGGCAACAACTATTCACATGAAATATGAGGAGATGAATTTGTATAGAATTTTGATGTGAGAAGTAACGAATATGGTTAGTTATTTATAAAAAAATGATTTATTTGGTTTTTTTTTCCCTATGTTTTTTTTTCAATTTTTGTTATTTAAATTAATTGCCGACGTCAACATTACATCAATTGCCCATGCAGCAACACGGGCTGATTCTGCCTGAGGGCTTGCCCAGGTTGGTGGGCCCCACGCCTTGCCCAGGCTTGCCTTTGCATGTTGGAGCCGTCTTGTGGCTAAGCCCTGTCCTACCCGGGCAAAAGGCCTTCTGCTGGAAGTGCCCTTACTAGAAACTTATGTATTGTACAATATTATTTTTGTAGCTATTGTTTAGCCATCATGTTCTACCGCCTTGTTGTTTTCTCCGGCCACTAGTGTGTGGCTTCATCTAGTATTTATTTTCTTTGCAATTTTTTTTTTTTTTTTTTTTTTTTTTTTTTTTTTTTTGTTTGTGTGTTATCTAGTTTTGTAGTTTCTTGAGTTTTCTAAAATTGTGTAGTTAAAAATTGTCGTACACAATATACGCATTACCTTTTTCAACAGCATTATTATCACATTCAATGGAAAAAATCACAATACCACATTTATTACACTTATTATAGGGAAGGCAATGGAATCTCTATAATTGACATGGTTTAAAAAACATGGTTAAACAACGAGTAATGCTTTGGTTCTTATTCTCTGCATGAGTTTTGTTTTGCACAAGCACAACTCACCCACTCTCACAAAAAGCAGAGATAGAGGACATTGATGAAGTAGAAATGCACACAAGTTAGGAGTGAACAACATGTAGCCTCAAGGTAGCAGACAATACACAGCAACTCAAATGATTAGCCCCATCTCAAATTCTTCCTTCTGGGATGCACCATGAATTCATGGTTCTTATTTTTAATTTTTCTATGGGCTGTTCTTCTCTATCGCTAATATTATTAATAAATATTCACTTATATTATAACACGTACTACAGTACGACTGTGTAATCACTTCTCAATATAACCCCATAAATTACAGGGAGGGGATTTGACTTTTCCTTAGCATTCCATTGACTCATTTGAAAACCAGCCAGTCTTGCTTGTTAGTGTTTTGGGATCGCAAAATGGATGTATGGTTAGAACCTGGTCTTACGAAAATAGATGTTACTTTCGGTGGATTACCACCGAAATCATTGCATTGTTTCAGTGGTAGTTCACTGAATTTGTTTCCATTTTTCAGTAGTTGACTACCTAATTCGTTTATGTTTTTCAGTGGTAGTCTACTCTTCAGAAATTTGCCCCACAAATAAATGACCTTAAAGATATTCTGAAACAACATTGTTATGTACTCCACAAACCACCTCCAACTTCCAATCATCCTCATCACCAATATTGACACCTTTTAACAAGAATGGCCATCCACATTTAGTGTCCCTAAAACACTTTGTCGTATCACTATTTGCATTCGACCTTACACCAGTTGTTTCACTAGACTGCAAGACCTATATTTGCCGCTCCTCTCACAAGCAAGTATTATTCGAGGTCTCCTCTTGCCCTCACCTTTAGAATCAGACCTTGTAATTACAATTATGGTATTATTCATTTTTCCTTGTGCACGAGCCCATCTAATTAATGCATCTCTACCTTTGAATATCTACACATTAAACTCATGTTATTTAAAGTAAAAATTTGAAACATTAATGCCACGTTAATGATACTAAAAAGGATTTCAGACAAAAAAAAAGGGTACTCAAGATGATTATCGAATAAGTTGTGAATAAATCACTATAGTCCATTACACATTATGTTCCAACACTATTGCCTTTAGTAGCGGTGTCACCTTGTTTTTGTTCCTTCGATAGGAGTAAGTTCAAAATAGCTTGCATTAAATTTGTGGTCGACAATAATTTACTAAAAATATATATATATATATATTGGTTCGTTGCCACTGAATGATAGGCAAAAGTCAGTCATACGTCACCAAAGCCCTTTCCACAACATCTTAATCTAAAGGTCGGTCAAATACAACTAAAATAGGTTCAATGTTTCAATGGCATGCCACCGAATTTTCCTATCGTGTTCGGTACTGGTGTGCTGCACATAACCAGAGACTACCATGCAACCCTAAACTTAAACACACCAAAAAAATAAACTCATGCCTCATTCGAAGCCTCCCTAACTTCAATCTCAGCCTTCATGAATAAATACTAGACATGTTTTCACCAATATAAGCGTATAAACCTTGTTAGGGTTGTAGGAACATGATGGTTTGAGAAAAAAGTCTAACTAGGGTTACAAGAACGTATGTGGGGTGTACTGAGCAAATTTAATTTCTATTTTAAATTTTTTTATCCTTAACCGTAATTATGTACAAGGGTAAAATAGGTTATTCATGTTTTAAATTAGTATAGGGTGAAAAGAACAAATCATGGGGTGCAAATAAAATCACCCTAAATTATATGAAATTATGAGCGCGCACACACATATATATTTATACATTTAAATAACTAGTAACATGATAATTAATTTAATGCATATGCCAACATTAATATAATTAATTACCTAAAAGTTGAAACACAAGCTTGGACTTACAAGGCCCTATGAAAATGATGAGTTGTATCATGAACGAAAATTTCTAAGGAACAAGAAATACATGTGTTGTACAGCTGATGAAGTGCTGATTTGATCTTGGCGACCAGCGTTCTAAGTGTTCTTGAAAGCTTGAGTGTCGTCTTTGACACCATTTCCCACAGCACCAAATGACAACACATTGTAAACCTGCATCTCGAGGGAAATGTGGTTGTGGAGACTTTGATTTTTTATAAGATCGACTCTTAGGGTAGCCGGCCGGTGTCAAAGGTAGTGGCAAATTTTTGGGTGCATAATATGGTGGCCGTGACCAATTTGATTTTCGAGATGCTATGTGCAAATGCTTGTGTTTTGTGGAACCATAGTGTTTATTTTGGAACAAAAATATGGCAAACACTACAAGCACAACAAATAGCAGGGTGAGAAAAGGAGAGAGTTTAGGGTTTAGAGCATTCTCTAAATATTGTTTGACATTCCAAAAGTTCAGAGCATAAACAGTCGGACAATTCAGACAAAACAAGCAGCTTGCCATCCATGTGAGTGAAAGATGAACTTTATAGCACAAGACACAACACATTCTCTTTAGTAGAAGAATTATATGAAGGAAATGTTTTAGTCAATACTATAAACCACAAGCTACAAGCCTACAAGCCTTGATGACAATCCATATCCCATCATACAACTTTACTAGTAACATGTTACATGTCAACTAGATCAAACGAAAGAAATCAGGAACTCGATAAGGATCTGTATCGGTAGCACAAGCACTAGATAAATGGCGTCCGAAAGACATAGAGGCCTTATCCCCAGTCCACAAAAGGAAGCGGCGGATATCCACCCTCTGGAGGAGGCATTAGAGATGGAGGTAGATTGCCCCATGACATTCCCATGCTATCTCTGACCACCACATCTGTGAATCAAAATGAAGAAATAAATTATGTTAAAAACAAAAACGAAGACAGCAATGGTCACCTACCGTCTCAAGTCTAAAGCAACATATCATTTCAAGTTACCTGGCAAAGAGCTGCCCCCAACCAACTGGTTCTCTTGAAAAGTTGAAGACTGATTATTATCAATCAAACCTGTCAACACATTCCAACTCTTGAATTAGATACTGAAAACATATTTAATTCCTTCTCCCTCACATTAAGAAAAAAAAACACAAGGAGCATTGTTTTCAATTTCAGGTATCTTTACCTGGTGCCCTTTGAGTAACCATATTCTGCTGATTGTTCTTGGGATGAAGATATCTACAAGAATCCCCGTATGGGCAAAATCCCTACAATCCATGCCAAAGAAAAAGAAATTGACAATAAACAAGAAACCAAAACATATAAATCCAAAGCCAAAATTAATTATAAACCAAGTATCAAAGCAAACTCTGCCTCCAACACATTATTCAACAGAGTCAACACCTGACCAAATTAATTGGGTTGATTAAAGAAAAAATCAAAATCTGGATCCAACCCATTATAGTAGAAGTGAAATCACTTGGGTAATCAATGAAAATGCGATCAGGAGAAAGCGATACCGTTTTGACAAAGCGGTTGCAAACCCCTTTTGTCAAGCTCTCCGTATAAGCATGACTGGGATCTGCAATCAACGGCAAACAGAGTTGTGATTATACATAAAAATGCATAGAGGGATGCTTGGTAGCTGAGAAAGCAAAGGAAAATGACTTAAAGAAAAGCTCAAAAGCAGAAGATAATGGTTGTATTTATGTACCTTTGAAGGAGTCGTACCATTGAGCTTTGGCTCTGAGGTGTTGGAGACCATGAAGATGGCGTCGCCTCGCGGATGGGGTGTCTTGGAATTCCTTGTCACAGTATTCGCAGTAATACTTCCCCAACGGCATTGCAACTCTCTCTCTCTCTTTCTATCGAATTCGAGGTTTCTAACTATTTATAGGTTTTGGGCCTTTCGGCTGACAGAAAAATTTTCTTTTTGGTCCACAGAGTTCTTCAGTTTTAACCGTTTACTGTGATCAGTGGATTCAGTAAACTTTTTTTTTTCCTTGGAAGAAATCCTGCTTGCTTTAAATGGTAGTATGAAACATTGAAGCTTTCTTTGTTTTTTCGAGTTTAATTGGTGACCCAGAAACAGAAAAAAAAACAAAACAAAAAAGTTAAGTTAAATTGTAGGTTTTTTTTTTTTTTTTTTTTTTTTTTTTTTTGGTACGATATATAAAGCGATTGGGGAAGTTGATTTTTTCTTCCGTGATGTAAAAGCTTCGTTGGCATTACCCACTTGGATGACCATATAAGCCATCTTGACGCAAATTCCGGCTCATCACTTCGATGGAATCAAGAAAACCAATACTTGGATTGGAAGGTTTATTGTTGAGAGATATCCATCACTTTGACAGAATTGTCTAAAAATAGCATAGGCTGAGGTTGACACAAATGATTTCAACTCAGAATCTATGGGAATTGCTTTTTTCCTACTACAATGAGAGGGAAGTAGCCTTCAATAAACTATCTGCCAAACAACTAGATTACATTGGAAATACGAAACCAGAGAACATTGGTCTGTCTTCTAGAAATACAAATACAGATAAACATTTAGATAAATGCTGCTGTTTGTCTTCTATGTGATGTTACAATCTGGGGATACAGGGATAAGGCAATCATAATACCCATTGAGGTTTGGACAATACAAGATTCAAGAGAATACATCTAAATCTGCTCTTACAAAACAAGGTCATACATTGAGGTACATTAAATATAATGGAGACAAATAGCAGGCCAGGAGAACACATAACTTCCATATGGGACCACACTTGAGGTTTCTCACATCTCAGAAACTAATCAGATGCCAAGAACGGGGCTTGCTTTCTCGCATGCTCTGGGATCAATTTCATCAAAATCTCCACAGGCACCCCCTTTAATTCTGATTGATAGACCAAGAGTAAGAACTTTGATACAAAGCTTAGCGGAAAAAAAAAATAGAAATTGTCTCTCAGAACAGCATCATACCATGAGATTTAAAGTTAAATAAAGGTGGAAGGAAACGTCCATTCGGCAGGCGGGTGTTCAGGTCACGAAGCTCATCAAAAAAGGGGTGGGTCAAGGCATCCAGCTGCATTAGAAACAGAAACAATGGTTGAAAAATTAACAAAATGAAGATAATGGGAATAAAAAAAATTAACTGAATTTTCTATTACTAGCACATAATGAAATTTTCTTAATGGAGTTTTGTAAAAAGAAAAAAGGGGGAAAATTGGAAAGAATGAACAATGTGGACATTAAAAAAACTCCTGTACTCACAGCTGTGCACCGCAAGTTAGGAGAGTATTGTAGCAGTCTTGAAACCAGATCAACAGCTTCTGGAGGCATACGCTTGTGGAATATCTAAGGAAATAACAGATATCAATATGCTGTCTGGTTTAAGAAATATAAAATGATACATTAATATCTTCCTTCATAATACCTTGTGCCACGGGTGAGCTTTGATTTGAGGGAACTTGAACTCTGTATAGTTAGGATTCATGCATTTGATTTCCTCCCTTGTTGGAGTGCCCAAAACCTACCAAGAGAAAACGCAAGAAGTGAATCACCACACGATAAAAGATTGAAGTTCAAGATGCCATATTTTCACCAAGTACAGAGAGTAATGCATGTCCAATGCAAGCATCTAAACAATCCTTTTATCCCTATTCATTGATATCTAAGATTAAATATGTAACTTATACTGAACTGATAAAGATGTTAAAATTACCTTGATAATCTCCACAAGCTGATCAACTCCACTCTCACCGGGAAACAGAGGCTGATGCAATAGAAAATTCCTTTCTATTAGAATTGTACAAAACATATATTTCAGAAAATGCAATAGAGCAAAGCATGTACCTGTCCAAGCAATAGCTCAGCAAGAACACATCCAACAGACCAGACATCAATAGCTGTAGTATACTCAGTTGCTCCAAATATGAGTTCTGGTGCTCTATAGTATCTAGAGCAGATATAAGATATATTTGGCTCTCCTTTTACCTGCTCAATAATAATACAGCATAAGAATATACGCCAATGAAGCAAAGGCCAATATGAGTATAATTGGAAGAAAAGGACAACAAGCATACCAAAACTTTTGCGCTTCCAAAGTCACACAATTTTACTTGGTGGGTATGCGGATTCACCTGCAAAAAATATGAACCAAATTTCAAACCTTTGCTGTTTTATTTACTCCATAACCACTCCCATCCCTCCACACACACACACAGAGGAAGGCAGTGCTGCACACAACTATATGGTTAACTACATATTAATAGGCATATAGGGATAAGAGAATCAAAGTACATACCAGAAGATTTTGAGGCTTAATGTCCCGATGGCACACTCCAATGCAGCGGTGAATGTAGGATAATGCCCTAAAGATCTGCCAAATATGGATGAAATGAGGCAAATCTCAGCTAACCAAAACATAAACCCTCAAGGGCAGGGAACAAACAACATGCTTTGAGGCACAATTCTAAGACTCAATTAGCCTAAGCCTTGGACTCATGGAGTAAGACCTTAGTCTAACAGTTGAATTCTTAATCTATATTTAAAGTATAAAACATACTACTCAATTGATGTAAAATTGTCTTCTAAAAGGGAAAAAATGTTGAAACAAAGAAAACACCACCATATTCTTCAAATGCAACTTACACAAAGGAAAAAAGAAAAGGCACACATGAAATTCTTTCATTGACATCATACCTGGTATGTGTAGAGTTTAACATATATCAGAGGCATCCGTTGGTTCAACTTGTTATAGTGTTTAATTACACGATGAACCGTTTCAGGAACATACTCAAGTACCAGGTTAAGATAAAGTTCATCCTTTTCCGTCGTTGAAAAGAAGCAATGCTTCAAAGAAACAACATTTGGGTGGTCAAGAAGACGCATGGTTTGCAGCTCACGGTTCTTGTACCTCTTGTCTTGCAGAACCTTCTTTATGGCCACAGTTTCACCAGTCTCTAAGCACTTTGCCTGTACACATAAAAAATTAGAATTCAACAACAGGAAAACTGCTACTGATTTGAAAGGCCGTACATTTCCAACAGTGAATTGTAAAGCAAAAGACTAGAATCTTACTTGGAACACAACTCCAAATGATCCATGCCCGACAACACGCTCAGCCATGTAACTAATTGTCTAATATTACAAAAGATACAACACTCCGTTAGAGTTGCAATTAAATAAACTGGGGAAAGAAAATATCAGTGTCTACATCAACTGGAGACTAATGTGCACAGGAGAAACAATATACCTGCTTTGGCTGGCCATTTCTACCACCAATAGTTGTCACGATTATATGGCCAGTCTCTGTTCCGTTACCATCAACGACTGTGGCTTCCATTTCCTGCATCAGTGAGGTAGACCATGACTATTCAATAGCAGACACTTAATAATCCAAAAATTAAAAAATAAACTGCAAGGGGAAAAAACTATGATAAACACATAACCAATGGCTTACATACTTTGTCATCCCTAATTTTCATGTCATTCAACTCCTCTGGCAACTTATCCACACCAACAGCATGACCACTGGGTTCTCTCAGACCTGAAGTAGGTGCTACACCCACTGAAGCCATTCGTTGCAAACCTTTTCTGCTCTCTTTATTATTTTTCCCTGATTAAACCAACCATCAACCTACTGCAATCAATTAAGCAGTGATAATTAAAATTGCGACTATGAAACTGCAATATGTACAATCTGAGTAGCATTTCTTTACCCATTATCCACAATCCATACTAAGAGCTACGTAAAGTTTTATGAAATATAGAAAACAGGAAATTTGTAGCCGATCAACTCAGCTTAGCTGAAAATTAAACTCATATTTACCAGAAAATAGATAAATACAGGAAGAAATCAAAATTTGTAAACCAAAGGCCACAACGGGAATTTTATGTACAGCACAAAAAAGAACAATAAATGAACCCCACAAATGAGATGAAGCAAATAAAAGGCAAGTCTTTGACCTTCTATACATACCCAAAAACATATTAACATGAAACCCGAGATCCAACAATTAAAGCCAAACAATACAACCCAAAATTCACACAAGAATAACCAATGAACTACCTAAATATCCAGTCATAATCATTCTCTCCCTACCACACACACACACACACACACACACAAAACATTTATTTATAAATAATAATAAAAAATAGACAAAAGGGGAGTTCAGACACTTAATCATGAATACCAAAACAAGCCGATCCAAATACCCAAAACGAAACCAACAAAAACCACCAAATATATCACAGAAAAAACCCAAAAAAAGGAAAGAAAAAAAAGGAGCTTTATAGGAGAAGATACTCAGAGGAAGAAAATTGTACCGATGAAGCAATAATTGGCGAAGCTCAAGGCGGGATCATCTGAAAAACTAAGCCCGTCTTGTAGAATCAGAGGCGTAGATCCATGATCAGAGAGGATCTAGGTCTGTTTCCTCTTTTGGATTTGTGTGTTTGTGTGTTTTGTTTATTTTTGCTTTTTTTGTGTGGTGGTGCTGTGATGCGCTGGGGACAGTCAAAGAAGGACCCTTTCTTATTGGCTCAATATTTTTGAAGTTATTAATAATTTATTTAAATTAAATATTAATACAGTTTTTAAAATAAGAAATATAAAATCTCATAAATAAGAAGCCTGTGCCTTGCTTTTTTGACCATTCAAACTTTCTTTTAAATTTCCTCTTTTTTTAGTTTTTTTTTAATACATAAGATAAATAATTGAACACAAGACTTTAACTGCAAGGATAAATACTCATAACTACTTCATATAAAAATGTTAAAAAGCTCTTCAACCCTTTCTTATTTTATTTTTTTTATATTAGTGATAGTTTAAATTAATAAAATCTATCAAAAGAAACTCCAACTTGAATATAAGAGAACGAACTCAATGCCCTAGCTAACTGAACTACCTCACACACAATTTTAAAAAGGCAGGAAAGTAACAAATTGTAAAAGCTATTGATTTTGGCACCTTTTGCATAAGGGCGCCCACATTTTCACAAGCTGGTTTTGCTTCACATTAATCAATTACTTTTTGTTCTATAAATATATATATATATATATATTACTTTTTGGCATAACAGAAAGAAATAAAACATAAAAGGTCCAAATCCCAGAAAAATTATACCCTATTTTTTATCAGACAGACCTAACGCCGGATAATGTCTTTTTTGGGCGGGCATATCTGTCTTTCTGTGGAGGGTGCCCTTGTTGTCAAGGAGGAGCGCCCAGAGTGAAAATCCAACATGCGAATATGCCACAACACCTTTTGCCGCTAAAAGAAGAGGCCTAACCTTAAGCAGATCTCATGAATTGATAACCACTCATAATAACAACCAAAATTTCCAACTTTCAGACCAACAACGTGTCTGAATCTGAAACAAAGACATTAATTGGATGCCTAATAGTCAAACTTAATGAACAAATCAAGACTAATAAGATTGTGGCTAGCACAAAGTCGTGCTGTCATATTAACTCCTTATCCTAATCCTTCAACAATTTGACCCACAATAATGACACATTTAAATAATTCAGTATGTGAAAATCTCTCAGTTTTATACATTTTTGTTCCTTTGAATATTCAGAAAACATGTACAAAGCTTCAGACTTCCAAGTCTTTCTTCTGGCTGCAAGAGACATGTACAAAGCTCCAGTCTTTCTTCTGGCGCAAGCGTAGCGACGGCTTCAGGCCTCGTATATGGCATGTAGGCTGACACCGTTTGAAGTCAATGTTCCTTGGCATTAGGCACCACTCTGAGCTGAGAATTGGGGTGCTCGGCCAAGGGGTATTATGAGATCCTTCATAAGCTCGTACTGTTCTGCACTTATCTGGGTGTTCTCCAGCACCTATTTAGCCAACACCAAAATCGCAAGTACAGCTTAAGGTTTTTGTTTAAAAAAGCCCCTGACTATCCAGTATATAAAATTCAAAATCCGAAATTTAGTATGTCAATTACTGGACAACATGATCATCAGCATTAACATCATTATTAATTTATCATTAGTCTATGCATCCTTACATTTAGCCGATAAGAAAATCTAAGACAGCTTACCTCCATCTAATTCTCATTGTAAACAAATAAGTTAATGAGAAAGAAAAGAGTGTTCAGCCTCACCTTGTAAAACAGCATCCTTCTATTTGTCATGTGAGGTGTGAGAGCAGGGATCCTACAAACAGAGAGACCCTCGAGGAAAAGAAGAACAATCACTTGCCACTGTTTCATTCTGAATGCTGGTATCGCATCAATAAAGGACATTGTATTCAACATGCGGCCCTGTACAGAAACCTCTCAGTGACAGCTTCCAAACAATAAATAATTCAATTAAATAGGTTCATAACAGAATCATGATACTAAACAATGAATTATGTTTATACAAAATTAAAAATAAGTAATCATAATCATGTCACACTGAAATCACAGGTGTGAAAACAACCAACATAGTAATCATTATGCACATGTCAATGCGTTATGATAACCCTGGTTTATCTCACATCAAGAGCCACCATAAATAAGGGAAAGCATGATACTAACATATATTTTCAATTGCGGGTTATAAAAAGGATGCTACTAGAATTCTATACAACAGATCAGCATCTTTTATATTTGACTAGAAGGGACAAACTAACGAAAGTCCGTTCATATGATATTTCATCACAATTTAAACAAAACACAAAAAGATTCAAAATCAATACCATTCCTTGCTCTAAACTAGATATTGGTGTTGGAAGCCTGAGTTCAGAAACAACTCCTGGTAGAGCCCGAGCAAAAGATTCGTCCAGAGTTTTCTTGATTTCAGAAGAGCGACCACCAGCCAAGACAATCTTAGGAGGATATTCTCTCCCATTAACTGAGAGAAATTCTTCATGAAAACTTTCATCCCTCCCGTATATATACGCTAATGTAGAAGATGTTATCCATGTAAAGAGTGAATTCCACATTGTTGCAAAAGGTGATAACTGAAATATATGAAAGGTTGCATATTATCAGAGAAATAGCCTGACAATGATATTAAATCAACCCACCCCCCTCTAGAAGTAAAAAGAAATGCACTCTTACGGTTAAGCTGAAACCCTCTGGTGGAGCATCAAACCATGAATCCTCAGGGTCAAACAAATCCGAACATGGAATTCCAGGCTTTCTTGGCCACAGAGGAGCTTGTTCTGGTTCAAGCATATCAACATCCTCAGTAGGCTCTTCTTCATCCAAACCATCTGGACGTGGCAATATAATAATTCCAGCTCCTGAAACTGATATTTGAAAGGACACATAGAAATAAACACTATTACATATCAAATTCAACAAGTGTAATTTATTACCTATTATACACTTAAACCATACAATGACATACCAGCACCACTGACATCAGATTCTCCAGATGCAACAGCTTCTGCTGCCTGGCTCAATGCCATGGCACAGGCTTCTGCTGATTCCAAAATCTCATTTTCTTGCAAGTCCAAACTCCCTAAAACATCAGCATCTTGCACTTCTCTAACCTCGCAAATATTTTTACTCTTCATGCTATCAATCTTCTCATCAAACCAGGTATTAGAGCAACCAACTTTATTTTCCACTGAAGGTTTGTGCATACTGCTAAATGCATCAGAGTATTCCATTATCTGTTCCATCTCTCTCACCTCACAAAGGTTTCTGCTCCCAGTGCTATCAATCGTCTCGTCAGCCCAAGTAACAGAACGATTAAGTTTCTTTGTCCCTGAAGGTTTAAGAGAGGATCTTAGCAAGGCCTCGCTTGATTGCTCAGCCTTCTCAACAATGAACTCCTCTTTTTCTTCTTTAGTGCTTCCATTCAAAACAGTTTGTGAAGCATCTGAGGTCGAAGGCACCTCTCGAATGCAAACATCATCTTTCTTGACATTCTTATTTTTCCCCCTTTTTGATTGTCTGGATTTCTTTACAGAATCATTCTTGTTAAGACCAACTTTTCCTTTTGATTCTTTGAACTTGGTTTCAAAATCAGGCTCCCCAACACTTGGCTGGATTTTTGACACACTATATTCATCACTAGTGATTATAGTACTCATGAAATCCATCTCATTAAAAATTATATCCATCCCACTGCTCATCTTCGCATCTTTACCTTTGGACCCTACAATATAACATTCCTGAATCACTTTAACAACATTAACAGAAAACAACAACCACGAAACAGTCGAATTCTAGCAACCTAAGCAAGCACTAGATTAGACTCTTCAACATACATACAATTCAATATGATGAAATTCACAACAACAAAAAAAAACAGACCCCGTATAAAGATTTCAAGCCCACATACCTTCTTTGTTCTTTTTGGAACCCAATGGCTTGGATATCCTCTCTTTCTGTGGAACATAGCCTTCAATAGCATTAGATGGACCAACGGCGCCCAAATCCCCTATATGTGTTTCACTCTTTTCTTCAATCTTCAACCTAGAAATCCCCAAGTCCCCAATACCCGTTTCAACCTTCTCTTCAATCTTTAACTTAGAAATCCCCAAATCTCCAATCTCCCCGAAACCCACTTCACCTTTATCAAAACCTACATCCCCAAAAGCCCTCAAGATCCTTTCAACCTTTCCAAAATCCAAGACATCGCACCTCTCCTCGCTCAAACTCTGAGCAAAAGCCTTGCTTTCGATAACACAGCGTGAGGAGCAATACATGTAGGTCTCGTGGAGGTCGTAGACCTTGTGCTCCTTGAGCGAAATGCGATAGTGACCCTTGCGGGGACGAGAACATTCGGAAGGCAAGGCATTGAAGCAGAGAGGGTAGCCACAGAGATTGGCTATGGTGCGCTCTGTGACGACGTCATTGTAGTCGGAGCGAGAGATAATAGAGCCAGCCAAGTAAAGGTGGTCTTGGGTCTTGATGCCTTCGAGGAGAGCGAGTTGTAGCTTGTACACTGTGTCTTTCACTGAAATCCGTGGTTGCTGTTGCTCTGGTTGGCCCTTTCCCATTCCACAGAGAAAGGGGCTTGCAGATGGTAATTAGGGTTTTCAGAGATTTGGGTTTAAGGTTTTGGAACTCTGAGGAATTTGAAGCTCTCTCCCTCTCTCGTTTAGCTAATATCGTTCGAGTCCGCGATTTTTATACTG